AATGTGTTTTCTGCATCCCACCACCCGTCTCCACTATTATTGTATAGGACACCAGCAGGAACCTGCTTAGTGAATTTGACTGGTGCACAAACACGGACAGGGAAAGGCATGAACACACATGGAACACCTGTTTCCTCATGGGAGATGGAGCGTGTAAATAAATGCTCTCCTCTCCCATCCTTCATGAGAACAACATTTTGGTCTGCTCCTCAGAGGGTCTGTGGCAGCTTGATGAACCACGTGCCCACATGGGTGACCAGCTCAATCATGTGCCCTTGACTTGACTTTCTCTCCTTCCCCATTTTCTTCTTCTTAGTCCCCCACACTGCTTTCATGGGATCACTTCTCCAAATAAACTGCCTGCATTCAAGCCCTTGTCTTGGTGTCTGTGTTTTGAGAGAACCACTTCATGAGATTTAGTTTCCTATATCCATTTTACCCATGAGGATACATTTTGTCCAAGTCACATGATGAAATGCAAAGACACTTGGTGAATGGCATGACTGCCGTATCTTAGGAATCTCTTCTTTATAAGGCAGTATGCTAAAACTTGGTTCCTTCAAGATCCACTTCAGGGGTGAGCACTTCTGCTTTGTTAGAACTTCCTACAGGCTGGACAACATCAAGGCCTCTGCAGAGAGAAGGTCCTCGGGGTCAATGCCATGCTCACATTGAATCCTTGGTAGAGAAAACATTCTGTAGGCACAGAGCTTTCAGCCTCAAGATTTGTTGATGTCAGCAATCTGTTCCCAAATCAGCTGCCATTATCTTCTGTAAGGACTTGGTAAACTGGACAGCTGGGTTTTTGTTGTTTCCCTCTCTTCAAGAATAATCTGGCCTCTGTCACACCCTATCTTAGAATCACAATTCAGCTGGATATCCCTACACGTAGTTTTCAGAATTCCTAATTATTTTACCATACCCTTCCCTTCCCCCTTCCAAGATTCTAAGACTTTTGATACCTTTACTCTGACTAAAACACTTCAATATCTTCTCCTGTGTCAGAGATAGAAGAGGGTTTGGAATGTGAATTCTTGGAAGACAGGGAGCCTCTCCATCTTATATACCCCAAAACACCTGTTCATGGTAGATATTTGTTTGTTGAATGAACTTACTCTGGTCTTGGCAGGTTGACCTGTTGATACTGGTAACTCAGCAGATTTAGCTAAGGATGTCTAGTGGTCAGGATGGGCTAGATTATGCCTTAGTAACAAGCTTTGTTGTATTAAGACACTACTCTTTTAGCAGTTATTTCACACACACGACACGTCCTCTTTAAGTCAGTATAGGAAGTCTGCTCATCAGTCACTCAAAGATCTAGAATGAGGTTTGATCTCAACATGTTTCTATGATCACCAAGGCAAGGAAAGGGAATATGGCAAATTGCACACTGGTTCTTAAAGCCCCACTCAGAACTGACAAGAGTTCCTTCTACTCATATCTCTTCAGCCAAAGTAAGTCTTCATAACATGACTAACTTCTGAATTGATTCTAGACAAAGTATTGCTTGAGTAATAATGTAGTTTTCACCAGAAAAAAAATAGCATAAATTTGTAATTTTTTTCCCTGAATTACCTGGGTTTGCCCTACTTTGTAAGAGATGTATTGACCTAAAGGTAGACACTTAACTGCACACATGAAGAGTAAAAAACCAACACAAAGCTATGCAGTTGCAAAATGGCCATTTATTGCCTACAGGGGAAGAAAAGGGAGAGAAGGGGAAGTACACAGGTGCAAGGAAACAAGCATATATTTAGCCCTATACATCATGTGTGAGCAGTACCCAATCTCCAAAATGGAAAAAAGTATTTTGTCATCTGACATAGTAGTTAAGGTTCTTAAGCACCTCCCTTCTGAGCTGCCACAGATTTAAAAGGCAGGACTGCTTTGTTTAGTCAATGTTCACATTAATGAAAAAATACTACCACCCAACTGTGTCCTTTTGCACGCACATTTTGTACAGTATCTATTGTGAAAAACATCTCAGCTGAGCAGTGTGGTCAAGATTCAGACCTCATCAACTGTTTGACTGTAATAAATAGAAAAATAAATCAGCTGGTGATTTTGTCAGAGAGAATGTGTTCAAGAAGTGTGGAATCACTTTCTCCAGGGATGACAGACTGCTAAATGATTAGAATACTACAAAACCAATCCATTAAACATTAAACACTAGTAAGCTACAATTACATGGCACTTAAAGTCTTCTAATTAAAAAAAAATCTTAGATTTTAAGCTGATTATTAGAGCACAGAAACAAACTGATTTAGTGCAAGACTTTTTCTTAGGACAAAAGCAAAGTAAATACACAATGTAAAACCGATTTGTCTTGGAATAATATCAATAAAAACTTCTATGTACTAAGGGAAAAAATCAAAACGACTTGCTCAGTTTTAAACTCATGTGCTTTGCTTTCCAACCATTAAATTAGCTACAAAAACGCTTTATAGGCCACAGAATGACTCAAATGTATGCAAAACAATGAATTTAATGACAAGTATGAAAATAAATGAACCCTTCCCAATTCCAGTGGTAAACTGAGTAGAAGAGCAGGTCATCTCATGGACAGTGAGTTGGCACTTGTTAAATAGTTGAAAGAAATCATGACAGAAGATACAAATTAATTCATGGTGAATTTGACCAACACCCTGACCCTTTCCTAGAGAAAAGGTGGTGTATACAACTCTTTCTCTTAAAAAGCAAAAACAAAAAACCAAAAGAAAACAAAAAAGCAACCTCCATTCATACCACCCCACTGGAGAGACAAAAAGCAAAGTTGAATGTTCATCCTCCTCAAAATATTCCAAGTACTTCAATAAACTCTATTCCTCAGCTTCTTCTAGATAAAAGAATTGCTTGCATTTGGACAACTGTATGAATGCCCATAGTGCACTTCTCAGTGCTGCTGGTGTTTAAGAAATTTGCCACTCACAACACTGAACAATTCCCAATCCAGTGTGCGGTAACACAGCCATCCAAACCCCTCCCTTCCCTAAAAGTTGGCAAAGCACCGCTCCAGGAATTTCACAGGTAAGGGAATATATTTTTAGTAAGTTAAGCACAGAGAAAGGACAGTACAGTTTCTGCATAAACACCCAGACTACTGTATCTCTTACTGCATTAAGATTGAAACGAGTAGCAGGAAACTAAGCCAGTTCAGTAAGGAGCAAAGCCATTATTTGACACATCAACACTGAGCCAATTGTATGAGTTAACTAATTAAACAAATGCGGTACATATAACCACTGATAGCTTGAAACAAAACACAGTCATGTATCAGGAGTTAGAGATTAACACAAAACTGAAATGAGCAAGAAAGGACCACTTCCAAGGGGGATCACCATGATTCTTATGCTTCAAAGTTAAAAGAAACATACAAACAGGAAAATTACCTAAATTCAGGGAGATTGTTATAATGAAAAGTACTAATAGGCACCAAACTGTGCCTCCTGAAAGTTTCTGAAAGCAAATGTACCGATGCCAAGAGTCATATCACTTGGCATCTGCACACCTTTTTCACAATGATTTATTTCTGATGACACAACTTCTAACTTCAATACAATGCTGAGTTAATACTATGTGCCATAAAAAATTAACATTTAATAGGCAAAAATGTCCTTATTTCATATGCTTTGAAAGTAAAAACTAGTTCACTTAAAAACTTCCATTGCTTCAATGGCATCATGTTTGTTGAATAAAACCTCAACATGTTCATTTTCCTTTGGTTCCAAGAATAACCTAAGTCTAACCAAACAAGCTTATGCCAAATGAAATTACTAACTAGGTTAATAAAGCTTGCATTTCCTGGTATCTCCCTATTTCTTGCTGTAAGACTTATGATTTAACAGAAGGTATTTGGTTAAAATAAGGAAAATGTATGCTCTCCCTTACCACCTTCTTAAAAAGAAATGTTTGGGGTTTTTTTCCCCTTTCTGAGGCTCTCATTTAGAACACCCTGCAGTATAGCTACAAGGGTTTTCTTTCTTTTTACCTTTAAGCTTTAAGATGACAGTTCTACAATAAAGATTTACATATCATTCTGTAAAATGAAAGATGCTCTTGACATTCTGTTCTTAAACAGAGTACAACTTTTGGTGAATAAGCCAGGTTATAGACGTACTAATTTACTTATGTTTGAATTCAAATTCAAAGGCGATGAGGAAGCTATTACAAATTTTAAAGCAACCATAGTATAAAATTTCTCATCTGTGTACAATTTCAAAACTTCAGTTAAAGTTCCTGGCTTAGAAAAATAATTCTCATTTCCCTATAGTTCAGAGTTCTGCAACCATGACCCAATTCAGAAGGAAAAGGTGAAATATATCTTCTACACGCGTTCAGAAAGGTGATTTTTTTTAAAGGAGAGAGTAGAGAAAGAGACTACCTTACAAATGTGAAAATTCACATTTCTGTCAAAAATATAAGCATGGATGAGTGTGCTATTTTGAAAATGTGCCATAAAATCTTTGCTTGATATAAACCATTATTCTCATGGCCTGCCAAAGGTATCAGAAATGATGATGTTGTCTGGAGCTACTGATCACTCAATGTATTTTATAAAGCCATTAAAATCCCTCAGAAACTCAGAATGTAAGACCTTAGAAATAAGTAAGTATTGGGATACAGTCAATTTTTATTGCTAGAAAGTCTAGCCGTGCATTAGGAATGATGAACCATGTCTCTGGTTCCATCAAAGAACACATTTAACTTATTTTTTCTTGTGCTTTCTCTATGCCTTGCTATTTGATTTGAAAGTATAGCTGGCATTAGTGATTTTTAGAAACTCTTGGAAATTCAAATACAAACAACTTTTTACCCATTTAACTAAGGAGATACAATTTTAAAATGGAGCACAATATGTTTGCCCATGTTCCAGTTTTAATGCGCCACATTCTCAATTCTAATATAACCCACCATAGAATCAAGTGATAGGAGCCTTAGATATCTTTCAACTTTCTCCCTTGCTTCTCTGTGATTTAATATATGACTCTAAGACACCAAAGAAAAGGGACAAATTAGAAATGAAGCTTTATATTTCTGCAAACTACAACACTAAAACACAATGGTTCCTTCAATACATTCACACAGGATGCTTATTAGTAAAATTAAATATTTGCCTATGAATATCAGAAAAGTAATTTGAAAACAAAGAACTTGGAACAAGGCAAATGGGAGGGGAAAGCTGGTCTCAGAACCCATTGTGCCATACCTGACTTTAACATGTGATATTCAAACAATCGTTCACACGCCTTACATCAAAGAAATGAAACAAAAATATTTAGCTACGTTGTACAAAAATTTTTTTTTACATAAAACATCATAAATCTTGAACAGATTTACTATATCTGAATTCTAAAAAGTTGCCTACAGAATGGTGCTGGGATTCTGTTCTCTGCTTGCTTTTAGGCAGTGCTGTTGCTTAAAAGTTGACACCAGGCACAATATTTTAAAACAAAGTCAACAAGCAAGGAGCAGTAAGTGGATCTGAGCCTTTCCCAGATGTCAGTCCTGAGGATGCTGCAATATTCCCCATCACAAGGTGTAAAGCTATGAGGTGGAAACTGATGCCTGAGAGAGTAGGTGACGACATGCACTTGCATGACTGTTGTAATGGCAAACAGTGCAGTTTTTCCTTCCTCAAACAACACTGTTTTAGTAAATTTAAAGAACACTCCAGTTCTTAGATAAATATCAGAAATCATATTTAACAGTTAACAAAACACATTAAACCACAATCTAAAAATGCCCAAATTTTATCTTCAGATAAAATATGCAGCAGCCCCATGGCATAAAGCTTATTAACTTATTCTGAGAACTAGAAAGTATATGAGCATAAATATTTTATTCTCGTTGAATATATACCATATGTCATTCACCTCTTCCTTTTGGCTTCTGACTGCCGAAGTTCCAAATGGCATGGTTTTTAACAAGACAATACTGAGGAGAGCAGCATTTCTGATCATCTGAATTGTCAGCTCAAAACAGATACCACTCCTTTTACAAAGGGAACAAAGGGTGAAGGGTGTGTGAAATTTGGGCAGTGGGCTAAAGGGAAACCGTGCACATGAAATTTGGGTCACCATGCCCCAAGTATGTGTGCCACCCAAAACATAACACAATTACCTACTTCAACAGAGCTACTGCCAACATTTACTAAAACCACATTAAAAATACACAGGATAATGAATGGTCTGAAAGAGTGCATTTGGAAGCAGAGAGAACCCAATTACACACCTTCCTGCAACAGAGTGCCTCGATCATACACAAAATAAACTTAAGCTGTTTACAATGTTTCCCAATTTTTTTTTATTTTTCCCTCTACATTTAACTATTAAAAAAGTTTTTATTAATAAATGGGCTCCTCTGTGGTTCATATACAATCATAAGTGAACTTTAAATTCCATTTTATACAAACATCTCAAAAAATATTGGGAGTGAAGTATGGTAGGAAATATTGCTCACGTTACTAATTAACATGCATATATGAAAGGAGGAAAATGTTTTGTTAGTGCATATACCTCCAGAGCAGAAAACCCACCGAAAACAAAAGATTTAAAATAAAACATACAGTAGCTGATTACAAAAAAAGGTAATGTCCACAAAATTAAGTTTTTCATGCTATTCTACTTTCCAGTACTATGCTTCAGGTAATCAATTTGCATGGCTAGGTGTTGAATGGTTGAGGTATATAAGAAGGGATACCTGCACATTGAGGAAAATCTGTCATCTTAAGGGTTGTCTCTTTGTGTGTTTGCTTATTCTGGTACTTTAACATTTTTAAAAGAATATTTTATTTACATCAAACTTCACTCAACTACAATGACATTCCAATTATAATAGATGACAAACAATGCCTCATCACTAGGCACTTTTAAAAGGGAGTTTAGGCTTTACAGAAACCTTCTGATGCGATCCCATATATGATATTACATCATCCCACCACCCTCATCCCAGTAAAATTACCCTTTAGGGAAATATATTATATAGCCTGATTAATTTACTATGGGAGAAATTAGTATAAAATGACCAAAGGAAAAGCATCATTTAAGACTACCAAAACAGCCTAAGATGTCAGGTTTGAAAGAGGAGACAAATTGTATATATTTAAAACTAATTAAATAATTTAAATTTGACTTGTACTTTATATATTAGTGAGACACAAATATAGGCTATTTTCTTTTAAAATTTCATTCACATAATGGAAAATTTCTTGTTTATTAAAAATATCACATTTTGAGACTAGAAACAGTAAAGTGCATGAAAAGTTAAAATATAAATTTCAGAAAACTCTTATAGCAGCAAAAAAGCAGAATAAAGAAAAACTTAAAAACACAGACACAACCTTTTCCTGTTACTTGTGCCATAATTAACATCAAGTAGCCAACCAATTTTTCCCCCACAAAACTGTATTATCATCACTGCCTCGAGTCACAGATTTTTAACTGGCCCCTGGGGCAAAAAAAAGAAAAAAAAAAAGATTCCAACATATCTAAACAGCATCAACAGTTGGGAATAAACCAGTAGCTTCTTAATTCAACCCTGACAGACAATGAAAACAAAGATTTAAAGCATATAATGGCCATTTGGCAACTAGAGTCAGGAAAAATGATCCAAGGTTTTCAACTATTCCCTGTCCTCTCTCCCCCCAAATCCTTTCTATTGTCACCTCAAAAAGCCAAAACCAACAGCCACTTGACCTACTTTGGGAAACACATGGAATATCTGAATAGCTTTCCCTTCTAAAACTTTGATCAGGGACTCTTCATTGTGTAGTTGTTGTTGTTTCTTTAACATTTGACTGTAACAGCAAAAATGACACAGATCATACAGTATATTTCTCCAGCACAACCAGGCAGAAAAAGGTAGTTGGGAATAATGAAAAATACTGGACTCTAATTTGTGGGTCTCCTAAATATACCAAATTCTATTTGCAAGATGTGTGGCAGTAAAAATTACCTGCTGTTTCCCTATTAATCAACTGGAGAGACAGGCTTAGAATTAATATTTTCAATAAGGCTAAAACATACAGGAGAACAAAATTCAGAGTGATTCCTTAAAAAACAAAATAAACAAAAAACCAACAAGTGCTTGCCCAACAAAGTATCATGTGCTATTAACTGATTCTGAAAGCATATTGTGCAACCATCTTTAATTTTTCAATTTCTCTTATTATGGCTAGAGGCTATATAATAGTTTGTGTACAGATCGAGTAAATTTAAGTGCTTTGTTAATGTGCAAATAGCTTTGGGAGCCAAAGATCAGTTGTTATAATGGAAAACAGAAATTCAAGAAAGTTTTCCCTGTAAGGCATACCATCAAGTTTAAAATCTTACATACTTTTTAAAAATTGCCTTTTACAAAAATGGTTGGGTCATTTGAAACAATTGAAATGAAAACATTTGTTTTTGGAAAAACAAAAACACTGTTGTTGGGCCTGGAATTGGTGATTTATCAGTTATGAATGCTGACTCCTAATACAATATGAAGAAGGTCCAATTTAAAAACATATTATAAATTTAAAATTTGGAAAGAGAGTAATACTTTGGTTCCAGCCCTAGTGCCAAATGATACCAATATGCACAAAAATGTACAAAATCTTATAGCAAACACATAATGAAAGGAACCTGAAGAAGCGGCCATACTTCACTCCTACATACTTTGATTTACAACTGTACAGGTCCATAGCAACAGGTCCCCGTCTTCGCGGGGCAGTACTCCACTACCTCCGATTAGGCAAGTGAACACCATTGACAAGAGGCAGGAGTGGAGGGTGGAGTTCAAGTTGTGTTAACAGTGAGAAGTGGTCTGAAGGGATGTGTGGGTGTGGACACCCAGTGATGTTGTTCTCAACCAGCCATTGAGGATCTAAAGGCCCCAGGACACCAAGCACGTTCATATGAGTCTTGGAATAGAAAATGTAGTCAATCACGCCCTGAAAAGAGATTGAGGGTTGGGGAAAAAAAGAAAAATATATGCTTAGAAAAAAGAAGAACTCAATATATATAAAGAACAATCCACAATTTGCAAAAGCCAACCTGAGTGATCTGTACTTATGGTTGTCTTGACAATGGGCAAAATAAGGTTCAAGTCTTCAATTTGTATGACATGAAATAAAGGTAGCTCAAAAGGGAAACACAGTGCCCCACTGAATCACAAAGTCTTTCACTTATTTATAAATGATAAGCACACTGAGAAGCTAAGCATATCAAATTATATCTAGGCATCTTTAGAATTTGCTTGTTTGGTTAGTGAAATTTAATATATCAGTGTGGGCATTATGAAAATTGCACTGACTCTAACAGTTACAATAAGTAGAAAATAAGGATGTTTACATAAATACATAAATAATAAAAACATATGACTCATTAATTCCTTTAATGATAACTGGAAATATTTTTAATTGTTTGCACATCAAAATATCCAAACACATCTGAAAGAAGCCATGGTAAAACATGTTTTCAGACTTGCCAATCCTACTTCAGCCTTCCTGTCTATTACATACATACAAAATATTACATATAGTTCATTGTTCTAATCTGTTCTATAGTTTAGAATACTCATTTTCACAAATCTTCATATACTTTAAATTCTGGATTACTCAATGCATAAATAATAATACCTTAGGAAAAAAAAAATTCAGCAGGGACCACATAGATTATCAGCTGTGTCACCCAGAGTTTGATCAGTAAGTTTCAAAACTATTGTGCTTTTACTGCCCCAGACTGTGTATGCAAGGGTGAAGTCAAATTTTCTTCCTACCCACATCAAGACAGCCTGAACCCAAGTATGGAGAAATATTTCCAGATCTGGAAGCACCTACTTACAAATACTGTACACAATGAGTCCCAGCTAATATTTTATATGGTATCACAGTGAAATGGGATACTTTACAAAAAAATAAAAAAATAAATTTTAATTAAAAAATTATACTGTAAAATACTAGACGTAATTACCTTAGTCTGTTGATTTTGACATGACCAAGACCAAAATAACAAAACAGCTCCTTAACTTTACTTAACCATAAATTAATAGATCTACTTGAGTCCAGGGGCGAACTTTCTGCAACTAATACTCCAAGTCAAGAAATGCTGTGAGTTACAGGTATTATCCCTTCATATGGTTAATGCCTACTTTTGCAGTGACATTTTAGGAAAATGGTTAACTAAGGTCAGGGTAATCTTACTTTCCTTTATGAGGCTACCCTTTTCTTGAACTATAAAGTAAACAATATACAAGTGAAATATTCTCAATTACTTAGGTTCACCAAAACATTCTATATCCTATCACTTTATTAGACTGTCACTGTGCACATCAGTAGCTAGTTAGAATCCTTGGCAGACATAGGCCCCAGGAAAAATGTTGGGCACTCTGGAAAGTATGATGTATTTAATTGGAAGTAGTACTTGCAACTAATCTCTTGGTCTGAAATATCAGAGTACAAGTTCTCATCAAAACACTTAGCAAGGTCATGTCTGTGAACCTGCCCAAATATTTGTACATACACATGTACAGTTGTCCATTGTATCATAGTTGCAAAGGAGGTTATAGACTAATGATTCTTAACCTTTTTTGATTCAAGCTATCTTTTTTTAAAAAAAGACTATATACTATGGGGAAGCAGTGTTTATATTAGTAAAGACTATAGTAAGTCTATAGAATTGTATTTGAGAAAAAAGTAAAAATGATGAAAATAGTTTATTAGCTAATAAAATGCTTCATTTATAAAAAAGGGGGGAGAATATTATATATCATAATTTAATGGAGAAAGGTTTACTACTTAACATAATAGGAAAACTGTCCTCCCTCTTTCCATTAAATGGTTGTTTCACCTTTAAATTTAGGGAGTGGGGCGAGGACAGCAGCAGCAGAAATTCTGAATTAAGCTGTTTATTCAACTTATGGACTAAATGTATGTGTACCCCCAAAATTCATATGTTGAAATCCTAACTTCCAATGTGATGTAGGAGGTGGGGCTTTGAGAGGCGATCCGGTCATGAAGGGGATCAGTGCTCTATAAAAGAGACTTGAGAAAACACTCTCGCCCTCTCTGCCATGTGAGGCTACAAGAAGACAGAGCTGTCTACAATTCAAAAAAGGGCTTTTGCCACAATCGGACCATGATGGCACCCTGATCTTGCATTTCCAGCCTCCAAACTGTGAGCAATAAATTCCTGTTGTTGTATAAGCCCATACAGTCTGTGGTATTCTGTTATAGCGGCCCAAAATAAAACACCTGGTCTGCAAGTAATTCTCCTAACTGCTTCCCCTTGGGTTCCCTTCAAATCAGTTCTAGATTAGATAAAACTGAGTTCTAAATGCTCTTCTGCATTTTTAACTTACTCAAAGACAAGAAAAGTAAACAAATGCTAAGTCAAGTGAATAAAACTTAACATTCCATTGATGCAATAGCAAGATACTGAATTGAATGCTAATCACAGGACATTTTTATACTTGATGTAACCTATCCTTTTTTACAGATTGCTTTCAATACTGGTACAGCACTATTTCCTATACATGCCTCTTTCCCACAGATAGCCCTGCACTTCGTTTTCATCCTCTCCTGCATGTTCAAACAGCAAACATTCTCTGAGTCATGTACTTTTGGTTCTTTAACTGTACTTATTTGGGGATGTAAATGGCTTGATACGATTTTTGATTCAATTATTAACACATGTAAGATCTTTTGAAAAACATCAACAAAGGATTTTAAAAGAATTCAGTTGACTGAGGAAGATGACTGAGGGTAATATCCCAAATTTTGACTCTATGACTAAGGCAAAAGTAACCTTTACAAAAGCCCAATTGTGGTAGAAATGATTTGGTCTTTTTACCTACATGTGTACATACCAAAACAATAATTGTTGTGCAGTAGAATTGTTAAACACATATTTTGGGGAACTTCCTTTTAGGTTTACTGGGATTATGCTGGCAGAGACGTATAACAAAGATGGATTATTTGTCTTTGTGTCTCTATGTATTTGTGTTTAGTATATTCCACTAAAGTCACAAAAATAGAAATTAAATCTATAGTAAGTTGTGCATCATTAAACTTAGAGGTTTTCCTTTAAGCTTATACAAGAGCAATGGTATGCTAGAGTTGGCCAGTACCTGCTTTCTTAACACTTTGTCCCATCTCTGTGTTCAATGGTATCATGTTGGGAGCTTGAAATATACTACAGTGTGAATACTTATACCACAGAAATCAGTCAACACTACAGATTAGGGCTTCCTTTTCCCAGAAAGCTATCTATTAAATATTTACTAGCACATCACTATACATGGGCAATCTGAACAAAACCAATTATTGCTGGATAGTATTATCTAACAACAAAAATACTAAAAATCAGATTCAACTACTGAGCAATATTTTTCTACTTCATAATTACAAAAGCAGACTAATAACATCAGTACATGAGTTTCCTTTCCTTTTCCTATTGTTTGTTTCTTGGAAAGTGACTAACAAGCACTGAAAATGAAAAAAAGGTTACTGGAGATGTGTAAGAGCCCATTTCATACATTTCCTTTGATATTTTACTAAATTCCCTGTAGGCTTCTTACACCAAACCACTTCCTAACATCTGCATTTTTTTCAGAACAGTACAAGATTTAGGATAGATGCCTGAAATACTGGAAAATCAAGCAGAGGTACAATAGAAGAACTATGGGCAGGCAGAACAATCAGAAAATTAGCAAAGGGAAAAGGGTTAACTATAGAAAACCACTATAGTCAATCTTTCTAAAGAAAAACTGGCCTTGCATAATGGGCCCTCTACAGCACTGTCTTTTCTTTTTCTGAGACATTCTGAGAATCTAAAAATTCCTGAAAAAATGCAGTTAAGCATAAATAATTTAAACTTTCCTTGTCACATTTGTATTTAAAATAATTTCTATAGCAGCCCAGAGCAACCACTCACTTTGAAATCAAAGGTGTAATTGGTATAAGGCATCAAGTTATTTTCATAGGCGCTCTTCAGTTGGAAGCCATGTGTGATTCTCCCTTCTGAGCTTCCATTCTTTCCATTGCAGCTGAAGTTCATAAGACACTCATTGTACCTTAGTTCCTTGAAGTCTTTATGGTTGTCAGCTACTCCTCCATTACTTAAATATTCCACAACACCTAGGAGAGTAAAGAAGACAGAAACACTACCATTTAGCATTTAGACCTTATACAAAATTTCATGGCCAAAATCCATGGCCATGTGAATGCACCTGGTTCAGAGTGCTTTTTATTAGGTCAAGCAATATGAAGGTGCCTTTTTGTTGTTGTTGTTGTTGTTATTTTAAAAAATCCAGTTTCATAAATTTCATATGGTTGATTCAAACTGAAGGCTATTTGCCCATTTCAGAGCAAAGTATCAGGGTCACCCGGAAATATCCTCAGTATTCTTAATGGTTCTTCAGGCTAAAGAATTCCCAAGGCTAGGATAGCATTCACCAGGAAGGTCTTGAACCTAGGTGTGTTTTTTTTTAAGTTGTTTTTTTTTTTAAGAGAGAGGGGAAGGGAGGAAGAAAGAGGGAGAGAGAAACATTGATCATTGCCTTTGCTACACATCCTGACTGGGGACCCAACCCACGACTCAGGCACGTGCCCTGACCGAAAATCAAACTGGCAACCTTCTGCTTTGTGGGTTGACACCCAATCAACTGAGCCACATGGGTCAGGGCTTGACCCTAAATGCTTTTAGAATATTATCCCAAACCACCATCTTGTTAGTATTTCACACTCCTGTGCAGTCAGTCAACAACTTTGGGAACACATAAAATACAGCATAAATATAGTAATTTAAAAAAATCATTAGATTTTACATTTTCAACATTTCAATGTCTAGTTCCATCCAGCTATGCAATGTCATTCTTTATTTTAGAGCTACAGCAATTTTTTTCAGTCTGACATTACAAGGACAAAAATAGTAGGTGTGTCTAAAAAGCCGAAGAGAGTAGAAGCATTAAAAAAAATACACTGCTGCTGCCCTGGCCAGGTGGCTCACTTAGTTGGAGCATCGTCCCACACATCAAAAGTTTGTGGGTTTGATTCCTGATCAGGGTACATCATCCTACGTCGTGGGTTCAATCGATGGTCAGGGTGCACATGGGAGGCAACCAGCCAATGTTTCTCTCTCACATCAATTTTTCTCCCTCTCTCTCTCTCTTTAAACATATCCTTGGGTGAGGATTAAAAAAATGAAAAAAGTGCACTGCTTCCACTGAATAAGTAAATATAAAAAAATATTACAACCCATCTGCTCATGATGATGATTAGTGAACAATGTTAGCCATCTCTATTTGTGATCAGAAATGAGAGCAACACATGGTAAGTGATGAGCATATTATTCGTATTGTGAATAACTGAAAGGAGCTACTATTTATCTACCATTGACTACACGCCAGGCACTGGTCTAAGAGCGTTTACATTTAAACCTCACAAACAACTCATGAGGCAGATAAAATAATTATCTCTTTATTATAAAATGAGGAACTAGGTCTTTAATTGCATAGTTTGAAAGTGGCAGAACCAGGATCCAATCCTGACAGTCTAGCTTTAGTCAGCTCACTATGCTATGCTGCCAAGTAAGTTCATCAGCTTAAACAAATCAAATAAGATGGGGAAAATCTGTACTTGAGAGCAAACATAATTTTTAAAAATTGGGAAAAGAGGACATGGTTAAGGTGTCAGTGTGGCTAGGGTGTAAAGACAAACATTTGTGGAAGGATGGGCTCAGCATTTATTTGTTAAGTAGAAAAAGTAATGTTTTTCTAAATTTGTGACTTCTGTAAATAGTCCAAGTATAAGCATTTGGGTTATTTTATATTTATTGTTGTGTGATATCCTAGAAGAACTCTGATCATGCTTCTGTAATATTAAACAGTATTCAAATTATCACTTAATGAGTTCACTTAAAAGTTGCCAGCATTATTAAGCTAGATAGCTATCTGTGCTGAATATTTTCTGGCTGCCTCTTCAGATCTGTTTTCACTACACTCTGTGCCTGAAATGCAGGAACTGCAAACCTCACCCACCCCCACAGCTTCTAGTTAGATACTGGTAGGAAAGCAAAGAACAGGAACAGAGTGAGGTAGGGATACACAAGTCCACTGGCTCTCTTTTTGTTGGTTTGCCAGGAATTGGCCACATCACTTAATTCAAAGCTATTACCCCTATTACATGACTCTCTCATTATGACTACTTTTTCCAAGTTCTGATAACAGTTCCTATCACCTTCCCCCCACGCAAAGGCATGGTAAATGGTCCCTAACTCTGTTAGTGGCAGAGTACTGTATCATTCATTGTTTTGTTTCTCTTAATCCTGCACACACCTCTAGAAATAGTTCCTTTACTGAATTCTCTTCAATTATCCCATGTCCCATCCCTAGGATTCTTACTAATACACTCCCTAATTTAGAAGAGAAATTCTCTACTCACAAGTTAAGAGCTAGCTCGCCTTTCAACTAGAAGTAAAAGCAAAACTGAAAGCAATATAGAAATGATGTTATAATACCTGAATCTGGCAATGAGTTAAGATCTGCACATAGCACCAGCGGGATGGAATTAGGATCTGCAGTTGGGCTGCCAGGCCTACTAGAGGCTTTCTCCAGAATGTTTTTAACCTCTGAGACAAACATCATGGTCTGGATGAGTTTCACATCAGAATACTCTGGGTCCCAATGCATGTGGGCATTTGCCACTATAAGCAGCTGTTTGTCTGCAGCATGAATAGGCTTCATACCTAAAACATTAGAAAAAGGAGGATAAAGTTATGCTTTATGTATCAAAAAGGTTTTCTCCCCAAACCTATAGCCACTTCTTTACTCTTTTCCATTAATTTATACCTTCTACTTTACTTAATAAAGTAGTTCTCAGAAGCTGAAATACTGAGATTCTGGTAATTCCAACATAGGAATTCCCTAGATTTAGTGACAAGCTGTAGCCATGGGTTAAATGTGGCCCACCGTTTTTGTGCAGCCTGTGTGAGCAAAGGCTGGTTTTACATTTCTAAATAGTTCTACAAAAAAAATGTTTAAGACTGTGCTACAAACCATATGTGGCCCTCAGGACCTAAAATACTAACTATCTGGACCTTCACAGAAAGTCTGCTCATTCCTACTCTATATGCTTAAGTTAGGAATTTTACCATGATATAATCAATATTTGATTATAATACCTTGATTTGCTGTCTTCTTAGTGTAAAAAAGCACTTTAAATATCTCTTTCATTTAAATAAAAATATAACCCAGTGAGGCAGGTTCTCAGTTATGAGTTACCTAAATCTTAATTTAAATTCTTCCTGCTGCCCAATACTCACTCACCTTGTATTGCCTGAGAACATCAGTGATAGGTTCCTAGTAAAAACAGGTGATTTAAAAGATGAAAATTAGGGAATAGTGTGCTCTCAAACTCTAGACACTTGGATTTTATTCCTGGCTTTGTTACTAATTATTTTGTATGGTCTTAAGCCACTTACTTTGTTGTTGCTTAGGTGCACTTGAACAATAAGATATTCAACTAGAAAATATCCATTTTTTCCTTAAAATTCTGTTATTTAATTTTGTCATAATAAATATTAACATAGTATTTTCAAAATGGTGGATAGAATAATTACTTTAAAATTGTGAAAATTAAGCTTAGTTAACATGTAAGGCATAAAGCTCAATATGCATGTTATGATATCATTTAAATAAAACTATACATACATATATTAGTAATGTGTAAAGAAATGAACAAGAACTTCCTACAGAATATAAATAAGAAGTCCTCTAATTTTTTATTTATATACTTTTGTATTGTTGGAAAATTAGTGAACACACAAAATTAATTTTTCCTTTGAAAATTTTTTTTGAAATTTCTATAGAAGTGTCTCAAAAATGTTTATATTGAAAAAATAAGTGCTGCAGAAAAGACATAATTTTCTAAGTCTACTATTTTTGTAAAGTTCCCTTCTGTCTAACTAAGCTATAATTATCTTTGATGTTGCATAAACAAGTAACTGATGCATCTGTCATATGTGACAGAAACAGTCATTTTAAAAGCAATTTGATCACAGGATAAAAACCTGCAGCAGAAAGCCTCTAAGCTCTCTTCTTTTCCTAGAAGTTTTATAATGTCACTTTGGCTGTAGATTAAATAAATATTCACTGTATTAAATATTAAAAACCTGCCCCTCCAAAGGAGTTATAAAGAACCTCCTATAATATTAAACACTTCTTCTAGGAGTACAAGAGTGACATAGTTCAGTATGTGAAAATGTCCACTGTATAATTTATAGTTACTCTTCTGCAAATTAAAGGAAGAGTAAAACTCCAAAAGAAATTCAATTTTCACATTGCCCACTCCAAAATGTGCCAAACTTTTGAGAAGAATGAGACTGGAAAGGACATAAAAGTAGTAAAAATGGAGAGGCTAAAAAAAGAAGAAAATTTAAAATATCAAAGATTGTTTTTGATGATGGATAAACTGAATAATGGTGAAAAAAGGAGGTTTGATAGATGTGTATGGTCTGAATAAGTCAAATAAATATTCGAAGCAAAAATATTTTCTTCTACAGCTAGCAAGCAGAAAAATGTACAAATAAAAGCCCTGATGTGTTCTTACAGCTTCTCCTTACTCTTGCCTAATGCATAATTAAACAACAAAATGCTCAAAGGCAGCCAGTAGAAAGGAGCAAAAAGGTCTGGATATGCAAAATACATAATGAGTTTCTGACTTTGATGGAAGCCATAAAAAATCCAAAATACAAAAGTAGCAGGTAGACAAAAGATCCAGCTCTTACCCTGACAATGACTTAGATATAACAAAGAAATTAGAGAGAATGTGCCAAGTACTTAAAGACAAAAGCTTTCACTCTCAAGAAGCTAAAAATATGGCTGAGAAGCAACTCATCATAATTTCTAAATTCAGCCTAACTAAAACATTTCCTATTTCAAATAACCTTTTGGAATTAACGGCATACTAAAAACTTTCTTTTTAAAGATTAACTGGTAATATCCCAAGAAATATATGATGCTTTACAAAATTAGTGCTATTTTCCTGCCAATCTCCCTCAACTTTCCACAAAAGACAAGGAAAAAACTGTGCAACAAATAATAGCAAGATTCTCAGTGCTTGTTTGCAATGGGAAAACTTGGGGTGGTGTTTATTTTTAGCAAGAATATTTTAAACGGCACTCACCTGCTCCAAATAGTTCTTTGTGGACCTCTAATACCACAGCAACACCAATATTATCCTTTGTCATCACTCTGTTCAGCATAGCTTCGGATCCATCTGAATTAGCCATTGCCACTTGGTTAAATTCCACTGTATGCTTCTGCACCAATGTAAATCTACAAGGTACAATACATTGTTATTATGATATTAGGTACTTGGACTATGGTAAAAGACATTAAATGGAGCACAAGATACAGACACTATTCACTGTCTCCCTAAACATTTTCTAGCTGCAAGGGGCCATGTGATAGACACAGTTCTGGATGAGATGTAAAAAGTCTGATTGCCATAAAAACTTTCTTGGAAGCACCACCTAGTAATGATGGCATATAAATCCCTTTGCCCTTTTTGTCTATATGGTGAGAAGCAGGAGGATAAAAGCCAAACCACTATGGATGGGGAAGCAGCTGAACCAGTTCTAAAACTGTCATTTCTGGAGTTGCAGTATGAGAAAATTACCCATCTCCCATTTCTTTAAGCTACTGTTGGGATTTCTAGTATTCAAAGGTGAACAGAACCTTGACTGAGTCAGCAAGTTAATGAGAAAGAAGAGAATAAAATCTGTGTACCCTGTTTGCAGTTCTATTCCCACAACTTCAAGAGATTTGTCAAGAAAATACAGGGACACGTCCTTATCTCAGCTAAGGAGAAGCCAGTTTTTCCCTCTGTCTTTTACTAAAAAGCTAAAATTAGATGTGTGTAAGTGGTCAGAGAAACAGATTCTGTAAGATGAAGAATGGTTCTCCTTGTGATTATAGCTTCTGCACTAACAGTATTTTCTTTCCTTAGTGCCAAATTAAGTATTGTAGAGTTGTAGGGCTTAAAAGAACACAGTCTAGCACTGACATTTAACAGCAAATATGACCTTGGTCAAGCTACTTACCCTTATTCATACTACTTTTATTAAGTATGTGAAATACTTATAAATGACCAAAACCTAATAAATATACTGTTTCCTTTTCACTAGGTGTCAAGTAGAGAGAAGACCTCTTTGTTCTTATAACAGGCTGCCACCATATCTTCCTTCTAGTTTTGAAATAGAAACATGCATACATCCCTCCAAAACCATTGACTAAAGTCTTATTATGCCATAGGACACTGCGCTAGATGAAACGGTACTCATTCTCCCTGCTTCAATTCTGAATGTCTCAGATGCTCTCAGAAGGTTGGGTCACGTACCTAATTTTAACCTAGAGTGATAAAAGGGAGTATGGTTTCCAACCTCTAAAGAGGTGACCTTTAAAAAGAAACATGAAGGATGACGAGTTACCTGAGTGAAAAATGGGATTAAAAGCATTCCAGACAGAATAATAATAAAAGGCTCTGAGGCAGCAAGAGCTTTTTGTATGTTTACAGGTTGGAAAAAGATGAGAGGAAGAGCAACAAGGTTCTAAGCAAGGATGCCATACCGGATTTATATATTTTTAAGATCACTCCAGCTGCTTTGTGGATTACAAGAGCCCAGAGTGATAATTGTGAGATCAATTAGAAACTCTCTGAGGTTATTTGGATGACAGTTGATGGTGGCTTTGACTATGGCAACAGAAATAAAGAGAAGTAAGCAGATTCATAGGTTCCATAGGTAAAATCAACCATCCCCCATATCAGACATTTTCAATTGTCTTTAAGCAGTGAAATAACTTTTTCAAACAATTTCTGGTAAGATAAAATAGATCAAAGAAGTATTATGTTTAAATAAATCAAGCACTAAAAACAACTAATGTGTTTTGAATATAAAAATATGAACTCAGCCCTGGTTGGTGTGGCTTGGTAGACTAAGCACCGGATTGTGAAGCAAAGGGTTGCTGGTTCAATTCCCAGTCAGGGCATGTGCCTGGGTTGTGGGTCAGGTCCCCAATAGGGATTGCAAGAGAGGCAACCACACCTTGATGTTTTTCTCCCTTTCTTTTTCCCTCCCTTCCCTTCTCTCTAAAAATAAGTAAAATCTTTTTAAAAATATGAAATCAGAGTGTATGCTAATTACTGTCTTAGTATCAGTATCCATTTTATTTATGTATTTTGTTTTAGTTACACGGTATTAATAAAAATCACGATTCACATGGACACACAGATACAAGTGGTAGATAACTGTCCTTGAACTCAGAAAAATAAAGCAAGCAGGCAAAAATTCAATTTGGAGGTCTGTACCAAATAAGTCAACTAAGCTGTAAAATAGAAATATGTTACTGACTTCCAAAGTGTTAAAATTTGGGTTTAAAACATGTGAATGATCCTGTTATTTTTAAATTACAGTTTAATTATTTGTTTTTGATTTTTAAAATATCCTATAAATATTTACAAAAATCTTCAGGCTCATTTGTAGGAACCTAGGGTTCTGCGGGAAAGCCTGCAAGTCCTTCTTAATGATAATATTTTTAGTACTGAAATGTTTTACTCCTACTAAAATCTGGCCATTATCAGGCGGGGGAAGGATACTATCTAGTTTTTAGAAATATCTCTCTTAACTAAAATTTGGTTTCCCGTATCTTTCTTCCATTATACCTATATCTAGATCTTTTCTTTAAAAGAATATAAAATAAATCTAATTTCTCTTCCACCTGACATTATAGTTGAACAACATGGAAGTTAAAGGCACCAATTCCCAGCACAGTTGAAAAACCATGTATAATTTTTGACTCCCCCAAACTTTAGTTGTCCCTCAATATCTACAGGGAATTGGTTACAGGATCCCCATGAGTACCCAAATCCATGAATGTTCAAGTCCCTTATATAAGAGTGTACCAATGAACCCAGCTGGCCCTCTGCATCTGCAGACTCCAACCGTGAATCAAAAACACTGTTAGTAATGTTTGAAAACACTGATTAAATCCATGGGTGCAAACCCTGGGGATACAGAGGGCCTAATGTACATCCATTGAAAAACATCTATTTATAATTGGATCTGCATAATTCAAACCCCTGTCATCCAAGGGTCAACTGTACTTTAAATATACCCCCAGTCTTTTCTAGAAAATAAATGATGAATTCCTTGTATGCTATAACTCAAGTTTACCCAAAGGTACACTACCTGGAATTGGGCATAAATGAATTACTACCTTCTTCATTTTGGACTGTACTTTTTTTTAATAAAAACTTGGGGACATTCATATTAATTATAAGTCAAATAAGAAGTAATACAGATCTAAAACTTTTTTTTTACATTCTTACACCAGGTCTCTTAGTCTTGCATTTACAGATGCTAAAAACAAACAAGTGGAAAAAATGATTTTATTATTTTTATTATAGAGATTTGGGAATGAGGAAAAATATTAAAAAATTTAAAGTCACCTATAACCCAACTTCTCCAATAAGTCAATAACTTCGTTCCCCCAGACTTTTCTTCATGCATATACAAATATTTTATACACTGAAGGTAATATTCTATAAGTTTATATTTCAGCTTATTAATGAACATTCTATGAGTCATTTTCCTATAAAACTAAATATTCTTCAAAATCTATTCTTTATGATTATATTGTAGTTCACTATACAGATTCACCATAATTTATTTAACTATTCTGTGTTAGGCATTTAAGTTACTTCTGATTTGAGGTATTAATTAATTAATGCCATTATGAACATTTTTGCATATAAATATTTTTTTGTACTCTCAAATGATTTTATCCCTCCCTCTTTCTCATCCTTTAATAATATAAGAGCAGCAGGCTTTACCTATTTCTGTTAAGTATCATTTCAGGAGCTTCTGCTCATTAATTCATCCATTCAGATATAAGGACACTGTGAAACTTCATTCCATTTTTCCAAAAGATTAAATAGCTCTGCCAACTTTTTTTTTAAGATTTTATTCATTTATTTTTAGAGAGGGAAGGGAGAAAGAAAGAGAGAGAGAGAGACAGACAGACAGACATCAATGTGTGGTTGCTGGGGGCCATGGCCCGCAACCCAGGCACGTGCCCTGACTGGGAATCAAACCTGCGATGCCTGGTTCACAGCCCACGCTCAATCCACTGAGCTATGCAAGCCAGGGCAACTTTTTGGTTTTTATAAATCTTTTTTTTTAAAGATTTTATTTATTTATTTTTAGAGAGGGAAGGGAGGGAGAAAGAGAGAGAAACATTAGTGTGCGGTTGCTGGGGGTCATGGCCTGCAATCCAAGCATGTACCCTGACTGGGAATCAAACCTGCGACACTTCGGTTCACAGCCCGTGCCCAATCCACTGAGCTACACCAGCCAGGGCGGTTTTTATAAATCTTAAATGAATATTTGTCTTCTTTGAAATAATCAAAACTCTAAATAGGACACAACAAATAATAAAATAAAAAGTTGCCCATTGTTGAGGGTCTATTTTATATCAAGATCTGTGATAGGTACTTCATATATACTAGTACTAAAATATGCAAAAGCTTTGCAAAAGGTGGACATGGAGGTATACTGCCCAGATTCCTCATCAATTTTTCAGGAATTGCTCTAGTTGCAGAGTACTGCCTCACCAAAGGGGTCAAGTACTTCTGGGAGTGGCCTACATTCAATTACATATCATAAGGAAAGACAAAGGTCTGTGGATTTTGTCCCTGCCTGGATTAATTCTCACAGGTCATTTCAGCTCCAGAGCTATAGGTGGGGCCAGTGGGGGTTGTCAGCTCTGCAACACATCTCTCTTCTCTGTGTCTAATTCTGCTTCTTCCTAGTTCCTTTCCACAGTTGTTGATCCCTTATAAACTTCTGAACACCAAATTAACTTAGTCTTCTTTCTAGAGAACCCAAACTACAAGAGGCAGCATTACTATTTATTTCCATTACAAAGATGAGGAAAACTGAAGTTTGGCAATTCTTTTTGAAAGTGAGATGGTTCATTCACCTCCAACACCCTAGAACTTCTCCTCAACTCCAATATTCATAATAGATTACTCATGACAGTTTTCTAATCATACTTTTACAAGATCTTTTAGTACCATGGGATACAATGATCTTGATTTGGAAACCTAACTAGTTAAGGCGGTTTAGTGACTCTCTTTGGATTACCAATCTCATGTACTTGGTTTGCCAGTCTCCTCTTCATCTGGCCTTAGTCTTCCCACTTTGAAGATAATTCTAAATAGAGATCATGAATACAAAATAGAAGTTGCATAGCTCCCAATCTCCGATTAATGATTA